TTGGGCTGCAGCACCCACCTCCCACCAGGGCACCCTCCCAGCCCGCTGGGTGCCCCCACCCCAGCAGCCCCCTCTATGGACCCCTCATTTTGGGGTGCTTGGCTGGTCGCAGGCAGAGCCCCGGTGCCAGCAGGAGCGGTTTGTGGAGGAGCTGTTGGAGGAGGAGGGCATTCCCCCGGGGTGCAAACTCACCTCTGCACTTTGCCATCCCCAGTCCTGCCCCGCTGCTCCCGGCTCCGTCCCTCCACGGGCCCACGGCAGTTTTGGAGGTCAGGAGAGGGGTCCATGGGACATGCAAGAGCGGTGCCAAGGCCACGAGGTGGGCACCCTTGTTTCAGGTGGGTGCCCCTCCACATAGCACCCTCTCCGCGGCATCCGCAGAGGTGCCCCGGGTGCAAGCGCTCTGCCCTGCGAGAGGAGCTGCTGCCAGGCTGTGCCATCGGGGAGGAAAATGTGCCCGTCCCAGCTCCCTTCACCCATTCCCCAAGCAACCATGAGAGGAGAATGAGAGCAGGGAAAAATTACTACCAGAAGGGAAATCTGGACCGTAGAGAGGAATGGCAAGAGAAAAGGGAAATAAGGAAAGCAAGGATGGGAGAGAGGATGAATGGGTCATGGCTGGAGAAGTGGAATGACTCTGGAGTACAAAACTGGGCAAAGGGGGCAGACACCCATCACCCATCCCTCACTCTCCACCATTCAGGTGATCTGCGGCCAAGAAGAACCAGGGAAAGGTGCAGAGCAACCCAAGACCCAGGAGAGAGCTGAAACGCAGAAGATGAGAGGGCTGCTCTCACCAAAGTCCTTCTTAACCCCGACCTTACTGCAGAACATGACTCTCCTGGAGCTGGTGAGCAGCTCACGGGAGCTATGGGATATCCTGGACAACCTGTCCGAGCGGGACCACGCTCCACACCCCAGGGGACAGCGGGACTTGGGGCCAGCCTCAGGCAAGCTTAAAAAAATTTTTGGCTGGGGAGATTTCTATTCCAATATCAAGACAGTGAAGTTGAACCTCTTGATCACCGGGAAGGTGGTTGATCACGGCAATGGCACGGTCAACGTCTTCTTCCGACACAACTCTACCGGGCAAGGGAACATCTCTGTCAGCCTCGTCCCCCCCACCAAGGCGGTGGAGTTCGACCTGGAGCAACAGATCTTCATCGAGGCCAAAGAATCCAAAATCTTCAACTGCCGCGTGGAGTACGAGAAAGTGGACCGTGCCAAGAAGACCACGCTCTGCACTTACGACCCGTCCAAGACCTGCTACCACGAGCACACCCAGAGCCACGTCTCGTGGGTCTGCTCGAAGCCCTTCAAAGTCATCTGCATCTACATCACCTTCTACAGCATAGACTACAGGCTGGTGCAGAAAGTGTGTCCTGACTACAACTACCACAGCGATGTCCCCTACTACCCCTCGGGATGACGCGCTCTGCCCATCTCAGGATGCCCCGGTGATGAGGGGGTGCTGGGGGGGGCGGGGGGAGGGATGGGGACGGTTTTGTAAGCAGGGGTGGTCCCTAGAAACCAGAGGTGAGGAAGAAAGAGGAGGATTTCCCATGTTCCCCAAAAACTCCAATGTCAAGAGAAAGAATTTCAGGTTATGGGGTATCAGCGTCACTAAACCTGGCCTGGATCCGTGGTCTTTAGAGACTGAGATGTGAAGGCAGGGGCTGAATCCAGG